CTAGACACAGAGTGTTGATTGGTGCATTTACAATCCTTGAGCTAGACGGGGGTCACAGAGTTCTAGTCCTCCAAGTCTCCACTAGGTTAGCTAGATAGAGAGTACCAATTGGTGTATTCACAAACCCTGACCTAGATACAGTGCTGATTGGTGTATTCACAAATCCTGAGCTAGACACAGAGTGCTGATTGGTGCACATACAGTCCTCCCCCCCCCCCATATATAAAAGTTCTCCAAGTCTCCATCCGGTTGAGGAGCCCAGGTGGCTTCACCCAGTGGATCCTGCACCTGGGCTGGAAGCAGAGCTGCCCGCCAGTCCTGAGCCGGGCCTGCACTCCTCAGCCTTTGGACTGTCCATGGGACCAGGCGCCACGGAGCAGGGGGCGGCGCCTGTAGGGTAGGCTCAGGCCGCGCGGGAGCCCACTGCATGGGGAGGAGCTCAGACATGGCTGGCTGCAGGTCCCGGGCCCTGCTGGGCGGGGAGGCAGCTAAGGCCCAGCGAGAATTTGAGCGCCGGGCCTGCGGGCCGGCACTGCTGGGGGACCCGGCGCAACCCCCGCAGCTGCTGGCCCGGGTGCTAAACCTCTCACTGCCCTGGGCCGGCCGCTCCGTGTGCGGGGCCAGCGGGTCCCGCCGGAACTCACACGGCCCGTGAGCACAGCCCCGGTTCCCTTCCGCGCCTCTCCCTCCACACTTTCCGGCAAGCAGAGGGAGGAGGCTCCGGCCTCAGCCCAGAGGGGGGCTCCCACGGTGCCGTGGCGGGCTGAAGGGCTCTTCAAGCACTGCCGGAATGGAAGCGGAGGCCGAGGGGGCGCTGAGAGTGAGGGCTGCTAGCGCATTGTCACCTCTCAAGATTACAGGTATGAGCCACCACACCCAGCCCTTGGCTCAGGCTTTGATTGCTAGTTAAGAGCATCTTTGGTGAATCTGATCCTTCCCAGTGAGGAGTTACTCACCACTTTACACATTTAAGAAGGAAAGACTTAAGTAATACCTAGGTAATGTTTTTATACTTTGTCTTTAATACAGTGTGGTAGTTTCCATGTGGGCCTATGTATACACATTACATACTCTGTGAGTACAAAATCATTTTTTCTGGAACATGTTCAATCATAGTTCCTTTTTCGTTTGACGAAAACAAGGTATTAACCTGCCTGGGGTTGTATGTGTTTTCACTAGCAGAGCAGGCAACAAAAACCCAAATAGTTGAACTCTTAATTTCTCATTGCAATCTGTGAAAACAAGAAGAAATTAAGTACCTCAACACGGGGGAAATTTGTATTCTCTACCTTAAAGAAGCCTGTGGACTTTCAATTGCCTTAAAACTCTGCAGATGAAGATAAAGAATCATGATGAGAGTGAGAGTGAAAACCTGTTGGCCTAAGAGTTTCTGTCTGATCTGTGACTCACCTTGGAGCTTGATTAGGTCAGTTAACAGCTTTGTGCTTCAGGCTGTCTCAGCTGAGAAACTGGGCTAAATACCTTTAAAGATAATAAAGACTAATGTCTCTGGAAAACAAAAAGTAGGCTGGGCGCAGTGGCTTATGCCTGTAATCCCCAGCACTTGGGGAGGCCACAGTGGGCGTATCACTTGAGGTCAGGATTTCAAGACCAGCCTGGCCAACATGGTGAAACCCCATCTCTACTAAAAATACAAAAATTAGCCGGGCGTGGTGGTGGGCGTCTGTAATCCCAGCTACTCAGGAGGCTGAGGCAGGAGAATCGCTTGACTCCAGGAGGCAGAGGTTGCAGTGAGCTGCGATTGCACCACTGCACTCCAGCCTGGGTGACAAGAGTGAGACTCCATCTCAAATAAATAATGACAAGAAAAAGACTAATGTCTCTTAAATGCTTTGAGCTATTTATAAAAGTTCTGTGTTTTGTAAATACAAGTTATTTCATAGACCTATTAATGGAAGTCTTTTTGTTTGTTTGTTTTTTTGAGACAGGGCCTCACTGTATTTTTGGTAGAGATGACATTTCACCATGTTGCCCTGACTGGTCTCGAACTTCTGAGCTCAAGCAGTCCACCTGGCTCACCCTTCCAAAGTGCTGGGATTATAGGCATGACCCACTGCACCTGCTTTCTAGTCTTAATGTAATGACTGTAATAGACATTGTTAGTTTTGAAATCACAAGAGAATGTATTTTAGCACTTATTTACAAACAGTATACTGTTTTATTTTAAATGGGTGTAAAATATTTTTAAATGATCTGGATTTGGGTGTGGTGGGTTTTGCTGCTTTTTCTAGAGTGAAAACTAACCAAGTAGAATACTAATTATGCACTTGAGTAGACATTAAAACAACTAATGCTGTTGTTACCGTTTACCCAAGGCTAAGTTTTACTATCAGTGGTGAATAGCCAGTAAGCGTTGTCAACCTCTAAAAATTAAGTTTAAAAATAATTATGTAGTGAGTTTCCTTGTTTTTATGATAAATATTTTTTTCATAATACTTTTATGACATTAACTGAGGCTGCTTTCCATCATACCTAGAATAAAACTTAAACTTTACCTACCATGGGCTGTAAAATCCTATATGATCTGCTCTCTCATGCCTCTATCATACTGGCTGCTTGTCAGGTTGTAGAATATGCCAAATTCATGGCAAGTTCTTCATCCTTCAAGCTTCAGCTAAAAGGTCTTCTCAGACCTTCCTTATGACCTCTCTTTCTAAATTGGTCCCTAGGCTGGGCACTGTGGCTCATGCCTGTAATCCCAACATTTTGGGAGGCTGAGGTGGGAGGATGTGTTGAGGCCAGAAGTTTGAGATCATCCTGGGCAGCATTGTAAGACCCTGTCTCTACAATAAATCAGTAAGTAAGTAAGCTGGGTTTGGTAGCGCATGCCTATATTCCCAGCTACTTGGCAGGCTGAGGCAGGAAGATCACTTGAGCCCAGGAATCCAAGGCTAAAGTGAGCCATGAGTGCACCACTGCACTCCAGCATGACAACAGAGCGAGACTGTGCCTAATAAAGAGAAAGAAAAAGAAAGCCCTTTATTCATTGTCACCAAATCCAGGTTCCCCCTCTACCCCCTTTATCTTTTAGACTTTATATTGGTCAACAAATCCTTTAGCTTTACTTTCAAAACATGTCAGAATTCTGCCTCTTCTCTCCATCTTCATCTCTGCCACCCTTTTCCAAGCCACCATCATCTCTCACCCAAATGATTGCAGTATCTTTCTGTCACTCTGCTCCCACTTTTGTCCCATTCACTCTGTATAATAGCAGCAGGGTGATCCTGTCAAGCCTCCATTGGAGTCCTTTTCATTTGGGGTAAAAGCCAAACTCTTGACCTCTTTAGTTAGGCCCTCCCCATACTGGCCATCTTGGAGCCCCTCTGATTTGACTCGCCGCCCCCCACCCCGCCCAATACATTCTGCTCCACTCTCCTCAGCCTCCTTAATGGCTCAGTCATGCTTCCTCCCAGGGGCTTTGCACTTGCCTTGCCTCTGCCTGGAGTGCTGTTTCCCTACATGGATCTACATGGGTCACTTATTCCGTTCCTTCATATATCAATTCTAATGTGGCCCTAGTCACATGCTCTTAAATTTCAGCCTCCCACATCCACACTCCTCCTGTACTTCTTTCTTGCTTTATTTTTTCTCTTTAGCATTTATCACTGTCATGTTTTATTCTGCTGTTTCTCCCAGTAGAATATAAGCTCCATGAGGGCAGGGATTTTTTTTTTAATGTGAGTTCCTTATGGCTCCTGGGCACTATCCCAGTGCCTAGAATAGTGTCTAATATTATTGAGTATATGCATGCATGCATGAATACTGTTTATCACAGTACGTGAGTTTAGTTACTCATTTATCTGGCTTCCTCCACTAATCTGGGAATATCAGCAAAGCAGGACTTCATTTTATTCACTCTTCTGTAGCTAATGCTTAGCATAGTGCCTGGCGACAAAAACATTCATTTGTGAATCAGTGAATATTAGTAGTACTTTGTATGCATATTGCAACTTAGTTTGTAAAGTACTCCTTTATGTATTATTATTTCATTTGATTTTCACAATCTTATATTGATAAGATAGGCATCTCTCTAAACAAGAATACTAATTATAGGGGCCTCTAAAGACACCATATTGAAAGTATTCTGGTAAGTGATAGAACTGGGCCTGAGACTTACCTGCCCAGAGTGCAGTGCATTTCCCACTGTATCAAAGGCCTGCTCCATAAGATTTACTATGCAGAGAAGTATTTCAATGACCTATGTTACAACTAGTGTCCTTTATTATATTGTTAACTAAATTTTCATTTCTGGGAGTTGAGTATAATATAAACAAATCCTGTTTTATGGACATTATGCCTAAGAATAGAGAGAGTTGAAAAATGAGATTTAAAATAAAATATAATTCTGTGCTAAATGGAAGTATGAGCTACTGACATGTAATTACCTCGAAAACCACATTGCTGTTTTGCTTTTCTAGTTGCTCATCTTGCAGAAGGATACGAAGAAAAGTAGAGTGACCTGGGGCTGTGTTCTTAATGCTGATGTATTTTTCCTTTTCTTGACTGAATAATTTTTAGTCCCCTTAGGAGCCCAGGATATATGACAATAAACTTTAACAGTTGTATTCACAGCAGCCAAATTCATGGGAACCTTAAAGATTTTTGAAAGCTCCACCTATACTTTGGCTCAAGGGTCCATTCAAAAAAGTAGACTTGTCAGGATATGAATACATTGATTCTACTAGCAAATAGGATTTTAGAAGTGACACTGCGGAATGATCATTCCTGAACAAATAACTGCATCTCCATAAAGTAGATGACTATTTTTCACTTCTTACAAGTATGGGTACATAAGAGAATACTTTACCTGCTGGAGGCATCAGTTTAACTGAATTTTAAGTAGAACTCAGGTTTCCTTCTGTGCCACTCAACCTTCCATTGGGATGTGACCTAAACTACATGTTCTTTTTTGAAGGACTCGGTTATATAAATTGTTGATGTGAGATCATTTGTATTCTAAGATTCGTTTGTTGTGCTAGATCTCCAGCTTGCTGCTGAGCTTGGGAAGACATTACTGGATCGGAACACAGAGTTGGAGGACTCTCTTCAGCAGATGTATACAACCAATCAGGAGCAGTTACAGGAAATTGAGGTAATTCACTCGGCAGGAGAGTTACACTTTTGATACTTTGATGTGTTGTTGTTATGTCAATCACATACTGGTAAAATAACACTTGCAATTAGACACAGCATTTTATTTTTTAACACAGACTGTTTTGAGAATAAGAACCGCCTCCCGAGTAGCTGGGATTACAGGCGCCTGCCACCACGCCCAGCTAATTTTTGTATTTTTAGTAGAGATAGGGTTTCACCATGTTGGCCAGGCTGGTCTCGAACTCCCGACCTCAGGTGATCCACCTGCCTCAGCTTCCGAAAGTGCTGGTATTACAGGCATGAGCCACCACACCCAGCTTAAAAAATGCAGTATTTAAGATAAACAGAATGGTGTTTAAGAGAACAATACTATGAATACTCATATATCCACCACCTAGCTTAAGAAAGAAGACTACCCTGGCCGGCGCGGTGGCTCAAGCCTGTAATCCCAGCACTTAGGGAGGCCGAGACGGGCGGATCACGAGGTCAGGAGATCGAGACCATCCTGGCTAACACGGTGAAACCCCGTCTCTACTAAAAATACAAAAAACTAGCCGGGCGAGGTGGCGGGCGCCTGTAGTCCCAGCTACTCCGGAGGCTGAGGCAGGAGAATGGCGTGAACCCGGGAGGCGGAGCTTGCAGTGAGCTGAGATCCGGCCACTGCACTCCAGCCCGGGCTACAGAGCAAGACTCCGTCTCAAAAAAAAAAAAAAAAAAAGAAAGAAGACTACCCACACTGTTGAACTTCCCACCAGAGAGGGAACTTACACCTCCTCCTTGGTCGCATATCCCTCCCACCTACTACCAAACCATATCCTAAATTTGGGGGGAAAAAAAAAATCATAGCTCCTTATTTCACAATGTGTTCAGATGTTTTGCTCCATTCAAATAATCATAAAATACAAGTTGCTTTCTCTCTGCTGTGATCTTGATTTGTTGACATTTTTGCTGGATATTTTATCATTAAAATACTACATTTTTGACTGAGTGTGGTGGCATATGCCTGTAATCTCAGCACTTTAGGATGCTGAGGGAGACAGATTGCTCAAGCTCAGGAATTCGAGACCAGCCTGGGCAACCTGGTGAAGCCCCATCTCTACAAAAAAATACAAAAATTAGTCTGGTGTGGTGGCGTGTGCCTGTAGTCCCAGCTACTTGGGAGACAAAGGTGGGAGAATCACCTGAACCTGGGAAGTCAAGGCTACAGTGAGCCGTGATCGTGCCACTACACTCCAGGTTAGGAGATGGGAGCGAGACCTTGTCTCAATAAAAAAAATATAATAATATGATACCTTTTGCCTAGCTTAACAAAACTAAAATGAAAGATGCTAGACTAGGGCGTTAAAATGGCCCTCCATGCTGCTAATCTTATAAACGGTCCCATTCAAGTAGTTCAGTTATGTGTAGGCCACTTGACTGCAAAGATAATAATGGATATTAACCAGACAGTGTCCCATCAGAACACCTTTCTCCATGTCCCAACCCATGCTCCCCACCAAAAGGGGACTGTACTTAAATTATATAAATGCTTCCCCCTCAAACTGGTACAGTAGACCCAGGACTCTTGTGTCTGTGCACAGAAAAATGTACAAGACTAGAATGGTGAAGCAGTTCATTATAATGAGTACTTACTAAAACTTTGATTATTTCCTGAACCAGGTGCTGGGAATTCAAACAAGTAAAGAATTACATAGTCCTTCATTAGAAGTGATCACATTATACAATTTTAATCTTTTGAATAGAAATAAACTTATGAAAACAAATGTACCCTCTCAATATCCATTAATTTTACCTAGTAACATAAAAGATATATACAGTAGACCCTCCCCTTGAGCAGGATTTCTGAAATACACTTTTATAATTCTAGGACGATATGGCTTGCAATGATATTGAAGTCACCAGGTACCATTTTAGCATATTCTACATCAAAAGAGCATAGAATATGTTTACATTGAATTTAATGACCAGTTACTGTAGGCCGGGTGAGGTGGCTCAAGCCTGTAATCCCAGCACTTTGGGAGGCAGAGGCGGGCACATCCCTTGAGGTCAGGAGTTCGAGACCGGTCTGGCCAACATGGTGAAACCTCGTCTCTACTAAAAATACAAAAATTAGCTGGGGATGGTGGCAAGCACCCATAATCTCAGCTACTTGGGAAGCTGAGGCAGGAGGATCACTTGAACTCGGGAGGTGAAGGTTGCAGTGAGCTGAGATTATGCAGCTGCACTCCAGCCTAGGCAACAGAGCAAGACTCCATCTCAAATAAAAAAACCTACTGTAGAGTTTTTCAGAAACCTAAAATGCAGAAAAACTAGGCTAGGCATGGTGTCTTGTGTCTGTAATCCCAGCACTTTGGGAGGCTGAAGTGGAACAATTGCTTAAGGCTAGGGTTTGAGACCAGCCTGGGCAACAAAGTGAGACCCTGTCTCTAGACTAAAAACAAAACTAGTAAACTAGCCAAATGTTTTATGTGGTCAAAGAACTCTTTCCTCCTTTGTTTCTTAGACTTTGTTTTTTTTCTCAGTGGGAGATTTCAGAATAGTCCTAAACGATCATCACTGTTTGTATTTATGTAGAGACATAGTCTTAATTGTATTATTGTAGTCTGTGAGGTTTATTCGATGCCTGATTATTGCTAATAGTTAATAAATTGTATTGATGTTTCCTGTTAGAGCATTTATAAAACACTATAACTGATTCTTGTTTTAGCACATCTTTTTTTTTTTTTTTTTTTTTTGAGACGGAGTCTCGCTCTGTCGCCCAGGCTGGAATGCAGTGGCCGGATCTCAGCTCACTGCAAGCTCTGCCTCCCGGGTTTACGCCATTCTCCTGCCTCAGCCTCTTGAGTAGCTGGGACTACAGGTGCCCACCACCTCGCCCGGCTAGTTTTTTGTATTTTTTAGTAGAGACGGGGTTTCACCGTATTAGCCAGGATGGTCTCGATCTCCTGACCTCGTGATCTGCCCGTCTCGGCCTCCCAAAGTGCTCAGATTACAGGCCTGAGCCACCGCGCCCGGCCGTTTTAGCACATCTTTCAAGTGTAGCTGAAAGAAGTGTAAATATTTGTAAGTTGGGAGAATGATGCCTATTGATTAGTGTAGGAGATTACAAACAATTGGTTTATGATCTAAGTTGTCTCCTTTGTTTTCATCGAGGATGATTAAACATTTAAGCTAGATCATTGGTATTCTGAAAGTATCCAGAGATATCTGAGGTTCTCCAAATCTACAAATAACACTTTATTATCTAATATTATCCATAAGATATTGTAAAGCATCATGGAACTGAATCCAGTTCAGACCTTCATAATTAAATAAGTACAAAATTCATGTATGAAACTATTCAGTAGATTTAGCTTGGAATATTTCGGGAAACATATTCATGAGTCTCTTATTTCTGTAATATGTAGCCCACTGGTTCCTAGATCTGAGCATTGCAAAATGCAGTATTTTCCTCTTTATCCAAAGCTGTTTTTTGGCTAAGAATAATTACTATCTTAGATTTCTTCACCACCATTACAGTTGACTTTATTTTTTCTTTCCTTTTATAAGTTGCTTCATGAAAGTAAGTTTATAGTCTCAGTAGGGGAGAGGAGATGGCAGTACTGGCTAAGCCCACTTACCAGCCGGGGGATTCCCACAGACTGTCCTTGCTGCCTGCTCCATCACAACTGTGCCTGGGCAGACGTAGGGATCACCATGTATATTTCCGAGGTCTCTCTAATATCTAAAAGAATGCCTGATGCTCTTGTAAAAGTAACCAGGCAGCCAAAGAGCCTACTTCCTTGCTAAACGATGACCCTTACGTATGTTCCTCTTATTGCAACCTTCAGGAGGCCCCCAAAACTTTATAAGGGCTCTCTCCTTAATTTGAACCTTTTCAGCATGTTTCTCCTTACCTTAAACTTTTTATTGGAATGTACATTACAGAAAAGGGCACAAATCCTAAGTGTATAGTTTGATGAATTTTCATAAAGTAAACATGCCAATGCAACCTATACTTAGATAAGGAGTTGAGAGCATTATCAGCCCATCTGGTCACCACCTGGTGAACTAGCATCCTAACTCCAACACCCTAGATAAGTTTAGCTTGTTTTTGACCTTTTCATGAATGGAATCACTTGTACAAGTTTTAAAGTAACTGTAGAATATTTATTGGGAATTAGATTAGAAAAGTAATACACAGCTGGGCGCAGTGGCTCACGCCTGTAATCCTAGCACTTTGGGAGGCTGAGGCAGATGGATCACCTGAGGTCGGGAGTTCGAGACCAGCCTGGCCAACATGGCGAAACCCTGTCTATGCTAAAAATACAAAAAGTAACTGAGCGTGGTGGTGCATCCCTGTAATCCCGGCTACTTGGGAGGCTGAGGCAGGAGAATCCCTGGAACCCGGGGGACGGAGGTTGCAGTGAGCCAAGATCCCACCACGTCACTCCAGTCTGGGTGAAAGAGTGAAACTCCATCTCAAAAAAAAAAAGATTTTTTTAATTCAGAAAAATATATAGTTGAAAAACAAAAAATCAGCTCCTATCCTACCACCAGTGAAATTTAAAATGAGACAGTTCAGAAGAATGGTCTGGGAACGAACTCTTCTGTGTGAATGAAAAATAGTATAGAGAACTGGTGAAAATACTAAGACAAGATCCCTAAGATTCTGACTTACTATGGAAATAGACAACTTGGACACTGCCAAAGGGTATTTTGTAAGTAGAACCACAGATATTCTTTCAAAGACTCTTGGAGGGTTTCAAACAATCCTCCTAAAAATTGATCAGTATTTTTGGTAGGCATTGTTTTTAATGTTGAAAAAAAATGTGAAAACGAAAAAAGATTAAATAAACTATTCAAAATAATGGTTAAACTGGCTTCAGAGAAGCCTGTAGCCTGTCTTACTTTTATTCCCTGCTAATTTGAAAAACAGATAATTTTTTAAGAATCCAGAGCAAGATTTTTCTGTTCTGAGTGGAAGGCAGGGAGGAGAGAACTCTTTGGAGAGTAACG